TAGAGATCCTGCTTTGTTAGAGATCCTGCTTTGTTAGAGATCCTGCTTTGTTAGAGATCCTGCTTCGTTAGAGATCCTGCTTTGTTAGAGATCCTGCTTCGTTAGAGATCCTGCTTCGTTAGAGATCCTGCTTCGTTAGAGATCCTGCTTCGTTAGAGATCCTGCTTTGTTAGAGATCCTGCTTTGTTAGAGATCCTGCTTTGTTAGAGATCCTGCTTTGTTACAGATCCTGCTTTGTTAGAGATCCTGCTTTGTTAGAGATCCTGCTTTGTTAGAGATCCTGCTTTGTTACAGATCCTGCTTTGTTACAGATCCTGCTTTGTTACAGATCCTGCTTTGTTAGAGATCCTGCTTTGTTAGAGATCCTGCTTTGTTACAGATCCTGCTTTGTTACAGATCCTGCTTTGTTACAGATCCTGCTTTGTAACCCAGAGTTTAGTTTACAGCATGGACTCTTTGTGGTCAGATCTAGTGTCAAGCCATTTATATTTTTCTGCAACCAAACTCTGAATGGAGCTTTGGCCAGTTCATGTCAAGCCCTCATTGGACTTGCTTTGATAGGTTAGATTTTGCAGCTATGGTTTTTTGTGGGATGAGCTAGCATTCTTCTTCTTTTGTTGTCTCATTAATACCAGGTTATAAACTAGTGTTGCAGTTTCCTATATTTGTCTTGTATTTCTCAGGTGGCTTGGGTGGTGGATTTGTTCACGTTTTTGTGAACTTCAGCTATACCCTTCATTATTCTCTTTCTCAGTCTTCCCCTCGCCTTTCTCTCAGATGTTCTGCTGTAAAAGAAATCTCACAGCAGTTTGGTCTGGCTGCATTATCTCAAGATGGCTGAACTATTTTATTTCTTATATGTCAATGTAATTCAGATTCAGACATATGTACAAGCACGAGAAATACAGTGACTTAGCGGCTGGTCTGAGGAGGGACGAAGCGTTCACAGTAAGAATATTCGCCGTCGAGGTAGGCGCAAGAGGTCTCGTTTCCACTTCACTTTACAATGTGATTAAACAACTAGGCTTACGAGGTAAACAAACACTTAAACAACTGGGCGAGGTTGCTGAGAGGGTCTCGAGCTGGCTCTGGACACAACGGAATGTCGTGGGGGACGGGCCTCGGTGAGCTGGTGCGGGTGTCTAGTGGAAAAGAATGTCTTATCCCTTAAAGTCCATCGTGTCCGAACCGAACTGTCTGCTAGTGTCCCTCTGCTACCTGCCAACAAAGTCCAAGATGTGTCCGGTAAACCAAACGTAAGCTTGCCACTCAGTCGTCCAGGTATGCAGACTGCTTTAATTAAGCTGTCGCAACGACTTCGTATCTCACAGTACCGTTTGCAAAGTCACCAATTCGTCTTGTCCCTTTCCGAGAACATCCGGTAATACGTGCAGCAGGAAAAACCAACCCTGAGCCTCATGAACTCTGGTGGGCCCACTCTCTGAAAATGTCTAGGAGCTTGTGGGCCGAAACATTTGTCGACGAGAGATTACTTCTACTGATGATTGGTAGACTCCTGCTGTACATGCTCCCCTGTGGAGTTTCTTCTTATGGTCTTATTTCAACTTTCTCACTAATGCGAATATTCATGAACATGTCCCTTCTTGTGATGTTAGTGACCTTACAGAGGCTGTTCATTTCACAGGTAGTTATTTTCTCTTGTAGGGTCCTGCTCATTGTCCATGTTTGGTGTAACAGAGTCCCTACCTAAATTGCGTCTCATTATGGGGCGGTCAAAACAACAGGCCCTATCATGTCCTTCACCCTTGTTTTTGAAACCTTTTTTACTAAGCTTAGTGACCGACTAAAAGTACATAGGTCCTTGTCCTTGGTTTCCATGATACTTCCAGCCGCCTGTCTAGACATCACGTGACTCTCCCTCCTAGCATAGCAAATGTTGTCAACATTTTTGAAATACCTTTACTAGTCCTGTTTGTTTAAAATGCAATAGAGTTTGCAAAACAGGTGGCTGGAAGGTTCTGGAAGCAGGCTAGTAGCACCTATATAAGTGACTGCTCGGACCCCATAATAGGAGAGGAGCGCCGGCCAGCAGAACGAGAAGGAAGTCAGGCTTGACTGATAGCAGTAGTGGGCAGGCTAATCAGAAATTATAGTTAAGAAAATAATAGAGTCATTATCTTTGATTATCTGAAACTAATGTACTCCCTAAAGATCTATGTCAGGAGGCATGGACCCGTACATGATTTGACCATAGTATTAACATATGAAGATGGAAGAGAGCGCGTTCACAGGTTGCGAGGAGTGCACTTTGCCATTTTTTTAAACCCAATTTGGGCCCAGCCAGATTTGGGAGTAGACACTGAGCCGGGGTCTGAAGAGGAAGAAGGAGAGGCAGAAGCACAATAAAATAAAACTCTACAAAGGCCAGACTTCACGGAGATTCCCTGTTGTATTTAAGAAGAAAAATGAAAACTCTCTAGACCAACCCGCACTAGGAGCCCGGTGGCAGTTGAGACACTAGAACCAGTTAGCATAGTAATTAGAGATGAAGAAAACAATGCAAACCTAAGAGTATGTAACCATAGGGAGAACACGGCGCTATTCAAAATATTATCGATATTGTTTGTGACATTGTTGTAGTACCACAATAAAGACAGTGTAGACTAGAATTGTTGCCACCAGCCATTTTATTGTACAAGCAAGAGTCACATGAGAAGTATGCAGCAAGCAAGACGTTATCATCATCACCACCACTATCGACACGACTATCTTTCTCCTCATCTATAATCTTCAAATCGACTCCTCCTGTAGCAAACCTAAACACGAACCTGGGTGTGACATCAACGTACGCCACAAAGAAGAGAGCTGTGCTACATTGGCACTGATAGCACAAAACAGGAATGAAGATGCTATTATTCATTTTCTGGTCAGCTAGAAGAGAGATGTTTGGGTGTCTAAACAGTGACGCTGGCTGGTAGGTGACAGAATTCGACTTGTGTACTTCTTACATGACATCACCATTGCATTACGATAGTAGTGGCATGGCATTACGATAGTAGTGGCATGGGGCTCTATCTAGCCGACTGTCAGCACTGTAATGTTCCAGCTGGAGCATAAGCCACATAGGGTAGTTAGTCAGTTAGTTAGTTGACAGATTATCCTCATTGCATGTCGAACCACTCAGTCCATAAGTGCTCGGATCCCCTCCTCAGTAAATCCCCCAGCGTGTAGCGGCTAACGACAACAGTTCTGTGTTGGTTTATTCTTCTTCTTTGGCTATCCGAATAGTGTTCTTGTTTGGCGACACCCCGTTTAACATGTTGTTCTTGCAGTCTGACCACGGTTGCAGATTCACAGTTCTTAGTTGGTTCACGCAAACATCTTAACTCTCTTAGCGCATTCAGTATATCAGCCTGGTCCATGGCTTGTCCGGCTTTCACAGTAGCCTTACCTGCAAGCCTGTCAGCTTGCTCGTTTTCTTGTACCCCCACATATCCTGGCACGAAAATGAAACTAATCCCTGTCAGCCGTGAATTCTGTAGAGCCACCAACCACTGCCTTTGGACCCAGCCCTTCTCTATTTTTCTGAGCATACTCATCGAGTCACTGAGAAAGCATGCCCCGGTGAAAGTCTTTGTCTCTAGCCATGTTACTGCTTTAGTTACAGCCATGACCTCCATAGTCAGACTACTTGTAGTTACGGCAAAAGTTCCAGAATCTTCCTTCACAACTCTCCCTCTAAACTGAGCCGTGAAAGCCCACGAGCTTCTAACGTGGCGGATTACAGAACCATCGCAGCCGGACTCTGTTGTCTGCATTTTCTGTCTAGTTGAATGCTAACAGAAAAAGATGTACAGCACTCTGAAGGCACTTGCACCCACTCCTCGCTGGGTTCTATGTCCTCAAGTGAACATATCTGTAAAATAATGTACTCGGCTTGACCCATCCATGATCTTCCTCTTTTTAACCTGCTGCCTTTTATCTTCTTGATTTGACTATGTAATGGATGTTGTGTGTCCGCCTTGACTGTGAGGTAGGCACGAGCTTGGGAAATTTGTATTCTGTCTTCCATGGTCGGAAAATCGAGTAGGTAGAGCATTGCCCTGCATGCTGTATCTTCTGTTCACCCAAGTATAATGTGCATAGCCTGGCTCTGTATCCTTTCCATACTTTCCACTATGCTTATGGCTGAGAGTCAGGATCGCCATCGCGTATTCAAAAACAGAAAGGACCAGACCCTGGTATAGAAGACACAGATAACACTGCTCACAGTTTGCCACTGCCATCACTCTCATCGCAGCCAGACCCCATTTGGCTTTCATTAAAATCCTATCTATGTACTCAGTATAAGCAAGGCTTCGATCAAAATAGGATAGTAACTTCTGGCATGTTCTGTCTAAAGTTACAGTGTTTTTTAGATCCCTAGTAATGCTGAACTCCTCATGGAATGTATTATCATTCAACTAACTTTTAAATGGCCTGTATATAACACCCCAAAAAAGCGCATAACAGTTTCAGAAACCTATATCTAAGAGATCTCTTTACATCCTTTATTCACTGACTTACAAACATTCATTTCTCTGATAAGCAGTTCTTTGGAAGACTGCTTACAGTAAGTCCATCTCTGAAATCAGATACCTGTGTCAGGTGTCGTTAATTTGTTTAGCTCCCCCTAAATTATTAATGTGTGAGTGATCCCACCCAACCTTTACATAATGCATTTTCAGCTAACTTACTATAGAAGTGTTGTCACTTCATCTGCATTTTTTTTTTTTTAAGATAACACATCTGAGATCTTCTATAGAAGTTATTTTCTGCATCTGCATCTGCAGTGAAAGTTTCTTAGAATGAAAGACTTAATATAAAATGGCTATTCTCCAGTAAAATGTGTATTTAAAAAAAAAAAAAACACTCAGCTTGTTAATTTTACCTTCTGTTTTAACCTTAATTTTACCTTTTGCAGTTCTTCAATTGCTTGTTTTAATCCTAATTTTTACCTTTTGCAGTTCTTTAATTGCTTGTTTTAACCTTAATTTTACCTTTTGCAGTTCTTCAATTGCTTGTTTTAACCTCTTTGCATAATCATAACGCTCCTCTGTTGAAAGTAACACAAATAATTTCAAAGAATTAGGAATGTGACAACTTCAAAGTGATAAAAAAAAAGTGATAAAAACCACAAACTGACAGTAAAACAAACAAGCTACCTAGAGAATGTCAGCAGAATCATCATCACTCTCATCTTCTTGTATCAGTTATATGTCACGTGGGGGTTTTATTTTATTTCTCTGTTCTGCTCTAAACTGCACAAACTTGTTAATATCATGGATGGAATTCATTCTTTGGTCTCTTTAACTAATGTCTGTTTTAGTGTGTCTCTTGGATGTTCTTGTTTCCTCAGTCTATTTTGTTTCCCGGTTTAGTGCCTGTTTCATCATTTTCCCCTCAGGATGTGCCCAGTATATTGACATATTCTTTGCCTTTCTGTTGATACCAGTGGTTGTCTAGACATTTCCCTTACTTCATCACATTTCTTCAATTCAGCCCATTAATAACACACTTCTGGTCAATATTGTAGATAGGCATTTTCAATGTTTTAGTCGTGGCAAGGTTTTGCTTCCGACAACAGTTAACTATCGCCTTTTCTTTAATATATATAGAGTGAAAGGATACAGTTCTGTTGCCCAGCTACTGAACTCCGTGCATGGTGCAACACTCTGAGCTTCAGATTTACGATGTGAACTTTAGATTCAGAAAATGGCAAATGGCCTGTTGCCAAAGAATGCATGGTGCCTTGTGCAATTAACTGCGTGTGCAACTACTAATCTGTTGTAACTGCCGCTATCAAGCTGTATTTATGCTGTCAGACTGTTTGTGTTGGCACTTCTGACTGCTGCAGTCAGTGTCAAATTTTTTTTTTCACAATGGACAGTAATATTTTGTAGAAGAATAATTGTTTCCATTAAATTTTGCCACAACAACTCTAACCATTTGCTGTGTTGTAGGAATGAAAAAATGAATAAAAGATACCCCTGTGGTTGGTAGATTTATTTAGTAAATACTAATGAAAACTGAAATACAAGAAGACACAATGTGATGTATGAGACATGTTGGTAAACAGTCAGTTAACATATCAAGTTTTGTTTGGGACTATAAAGTTCCCAAGCAGGGAATCAAATACAAGCCACAGAGGTGAAATCATGGAATACCAGCCACTAGACCACTTGGGATCTATTAAATATAGATAGGAAAGCGTGTCCTTGTGTAAGGGTGAGTTTTGATAGATAGATTGAATCAAAAGTAATTTACAAAAGGTTTTAGGTAGTCATGCTTGCCTGCAGACCAGTGTTAACCGTCTGAATGCCAGTCAATAGGTTTTCTAAGACTGACCTGAGCTTCTAGTCTAACAGTGAGTCCCAGGAAATGTTCTGGGAAATAAGCGTGACTGGCAGAATACTGACCACATCACTTATCAAGTGCACTGGTCTATCAATCTTTAAGGCTAGTCATATACCTAGTACACTTTTAAGTGCATTAATTTGATCAAATTGAATTAAGAATTAGGAATCAACATCACAGCACTTGTGACACTCCCATAGGCACTCTGCCACCATCTTCAGCAGCAAGCAAATAAAATTTCCCAATTCTGATGGCACCAGTACCTGTCTGACTATATCCCAGTTCACTTTAAAACAGTTTCCATCTATGAACTGGAACATCACCCAGGAAGTATACATATCTGATCATGAACTGCAAGATCACCACTGGAAGTATACATATCTGATCATGAACTGGAATATCGCCACTGAAAGTATACATATCTGATCATGAACTGGAACATCGCCACTGGAAGTATACACATCTGATCATAAACAGGAACATTGCCACTGGAAGTATACACATCTGATCATAAACAGGAACATCGCCACTGGAAGTACACATATCTGATCATAAACTGGAACATTGCCACTGGAAGTATACACATCTGATCATGAACAGGAACATTGCCACTGGAAGTATACACATCTGATCATAAACAGGAACATTGCCACTGGAAGTATACACATCTGATCATAAACAGGAACATTGCCACTGGAAGTATACACATCTGATCATAAACTGGAACATTGCCACTGGAAGTATACACATCTGATCATAAACTGGAACATTGCCACTGGAAGTATACACATCTGATCATAAACTGGAACATCGTCACTGGAAGTATACACATCTGATCATGAACTGGAACATCGCCACTGGAAGTATACACATCTGATCATGAACTGGAACATTGCCACTGGAAGTATACACATCTGATCATAAACTGGAACATTACCACTGGAGGTATTACACATCTTATCATGAACTGGAACATTGTCACTGGAATTATACACATCTGACCATGAATTGGAACATCGCCACTGGCAGTACTGTAGTGAGTTCATTTTCTCCCCATTAACTTATGCCCGACAGATGACGTCAGTAATAAATGTAAGGGGGATGTTTTGACTGACTGGGCTTCGTGTGAAATGCGAATTATCACGGGCCAGACAAGATTTTCAACGGTGGGGAATTCGTGAGAATGAAGTTATACAGAATACCTTAATGGGATCCTCACTCCAGGCACTCCCCTTTTAGTGCGGAAGACCAATAATCTGGCTCCATAGGCATCCCCACCCAGTTCTAAAGTCGGTATACAACCGAACCCCTCTCCAAGTACATATATCTGACAATGAACTGGAACATTGTCACTGGAAGTACACATATCTGACCATGAACTGGAACATCGTCACTGAAAGTATACATATCTGATCATGAACTGGAACATTACCACTGGAAGTATACATATCTGATCATAAACTGGAACATTACCACTGGAAATATACACATCTGATCATAAACTGGAACATTACCACTGGAAGTATACACATCTTATCATCAATTGGAACATTACCACTGGAAGTATACACATCTGATCATGAAATGGAACATTGCCACTGGAAGTATACACATCTGATCATGAAATGGAACATTGCCACTGGAAGTATACACATCTGATCATGAAATGGAACATTGCCACTGGAAGTATACACATCTGATCATGAACTGGAACATCACCACTGGAAGTATACACATCTGATCATGAAATGAAACATTACCACTGGAAGTATACACATCTGATCATGAAATGGAACATTACCACTGGAAGTATACACATCTGTTCATGAACTGGAACATTGCCACTGGAAGTATACACATCTGATCATGAACTGGAACATCACCACTGGAAGTATACACATCTGACCATGAACTGGAACATTGCCACTGGAAGTACACACATCTGATCATGAAATGGAACATCACCACTGGAAGTATACACATCTGACCATGAACTGGAACATTGCCACTGGAAGTACACACATCTGATCATGAAATGGAACATCACCACTGGAAGTATACACATCTGACCATGAACTGGAACATCACCACTGGAAGTACACACATCTGATCATGAAATGGAAAACTGCCACTAGAAGTATACAAATCTGATCATGAAATGGAACATTGCCACTGGAAGTACACACATCTGATCATGAACTGTAACATCACCACTGGAAGTACACACATCTGATCATGAAATGGAAAACTGCCACTAGAAGTATACAAATCTACTGAAAACATTTTGTATGTAAGAAGAAAGTACTTATACTAGTACCTTACTTTACTTTACTTTTACTTTTTCCTTCCACGTATGCCGCTAAGCGTTGTGGGGAGATGCAAGTTCCTGTCATAAGCAAGGCGGGCAGCATCTGATGTTCTGAGGCCATGCTTTTGGCAGGTTTCGGAGACCCCGTCAATCCACAGTTTCCTTGGTCTTCCTCCTGAGCTTCTTTGGTTGAAAATTTGTGATGTTATTTGATCATTTTTCATCCTGGTTAGATGTCCAAACCATTTCATTCTTTGATGTTCTATGTAGTCTAAACATGGTGTAGTTTTGACAGTGTTTCTAATGTCTATATTCTTTATCCTGTCTAGTCTGGTCTTATTCGCTGCTTTTCTTAGATATTTCATTTCACAGACTTCTATTTTTCTTTCATGGGTCTTGTTGATTGTCCATGTCTGGCACTGGTAGCAGAGTGTTGGAATGAAGATGGTGTTTTATCAATTGTCTTTTGGTCTTCATGGTTATATCTGGATGTTTAAGCAGAGGTGATAGTTGGTATGTGACAGCATTTGCTTTCTGTATTCTTGTTTCTATCTCTCTGTCCATTCTTCCATCCTCTGTAAATATACTGCCCAAATTTGAACTCTTTTGGTTTGCTTGATTTTGGCACTTCCAACATTTATATTCAGTGGCCTGTGTGTGTTCTGCTGATCTTCATAACTTCTGTTTTTTCTGTACTGATTCTCATATTATGTTGTAAACAGCTGTTGTTGAGAGTAGTCAGATGTTCCTGTAGATCATATTCATTTTGATACAGTATGCTTTGATCATCAGCAAAAAGTAATTTAGTTTATAGCATACACGTCTGGGTTTGCTTCTACAGTGATCTTATCCATGTATGTTATGAAAAGTAATGGTGACAGTACACATCCTTGCCTGACACCAGTTGTGACTTTGAACCATTCAGAAAGACCACTAGATGTTCTTACTGCACTTTCACTTTTTTCATAGAGGGCTCTGATGTTGTCTAATAATTGACCCTGCACTCCGTAATCGTCAAGAATTCTCCACAGCACATCTCTGTCTACACGGTCGAATGCCTTCTCTTGATCTACAAAGACCACGTTCAGCTCTTTATCGTATTCGAGTGTCTTTTCACAGACTTGTCTTAGTGCAAATATAGGCATCAGTGCAACCTCGCCCTTTCCTGAAACCGAATTGTGCTTTACTCAGTAGAGGTTCAACCTTTGCTCTTATCCTACCTTCTAAGATCTTTGCATACATTTTCCCCACATGACTTAGTAAAGATATTCCTCTATAAGTTCCACATTCTCTCTTGTTTCCTTTTTTCTTCCAGATAGGTACTACAACTGATCTTTGCCAATCCACTGGTACCTTTCTCTCTGCCCATGCTCTATTGAAAATTCTCTCCAGCCAGGTGATCATAGTGTCCCCTCCAGCCTGGATGACTTCTGTTGTTATTCCGTCGATACCAGCTGCTTTGTGTCTTTTACTTGTTTTGATAACTTTCTCTACTTCATCCCGCAGGATATGTGGTTCTAGATGATCTGGAGCCCTTGAATGGAATTCTGCTGTTTCATGTACTCCCGACGGGTTCAAAAGTTCTTTAAAATATTCCTCCCATCTTTTTTTTTTTTCTTTTTGGCTGAATAATGGTTTTCCATTTTTATCGTTTATGACTGATGTTGGATTGAAGCTTTCTTCTCTTAATCGCATCGCTTTCACACTCTTATAAAAGTCTCTTGGTGATTCTGTACATATCTGTGTTAGGTGTTCACCATACTTTTTCCATGATTCCTCTTTGGATTTCTTTATTGTTCTCTTGGTGTCTCTTCGAGTTAGTCTGTACCTAATGTAATCCTTTTCGTCTTTTGTTATTAACCATATTTGAAACATCTTCTTTTTATTTGACACTGCTTCTATACTAGTACCAACTATGGAAAACAACTGCTGCTAACTATTCAATTTTGTTTGTGTTGCTCCTAGGTTAGGTGGGTTTACTGATTTTTTTATTGTTTACCCAGGCTGGTCTGCTCACTAACAAAATATGATCCATAGGAACAGAGAATAAGTCTAGTCGGTAACTGCCAATCAAAAGCCATGGTCAGATTCTGTTCCCAGCAGTGGTAGAATGATTTGTTTCTGATCATTAAAGATTTAGGGTTAGTCAAGTTTCGTAAAATAATTATTAGATAATTTCCAGAACTTTCTGTGAACAAAATGCAGCATTACTCCATGTTCTAAAATATCTAAAGGCCTGATATTTTACATCTGAGTGACAGTATCTGCTTGGGACTTTCTTGATATAAGAATATAAAATTGACTACAATACGTACGTAAAACTGCTTCCTGTTTTCTTCTTTCAAGTCGGCGAATAATTTGAGCTATTTCTGGGTCCTGGTACATGTCGAATGCAAGATCATCCAGTGGTGAAATGTAATCAGGCCTGCAATATTTGAAAATATTAAGCTTGGTTATAGTTAACAGAAGCAACATTGAGGCACTTGAGCTATACCTACAAGTGTTCCGTCTCCCTCACCACACATAAAAATGTATGGATGATAACTACCTGCCAATTATACAAGGCTAAACTTGCTTCTTGTTTATTGTCAATGACTAAAATGGTCTTGGTCGAAAAAATTGGGAATTACTTCTATATACCATTAAATCTTTCACAATGTTCTGATTTTAGTGATGAATTTACTGATTACAAGATTATATCATTGACAACACCCATTTATTAATCAATGAATCTAATGAATAATGCCAATTAAATTTTTTTTCAACTAAAAAAAACACATTAAAAAACCTCACTAAATGATTATTAAATCAAATGATAATCTCCAAAGAGGAACAAGACTAAATGGTTATTAATTGTCAAACTCACTTACTGATTTTTCCATTCAAAGACTATAACTAAATGATTATTAAATGGTCAAACTCACTTACTGATTATTCCATCCAAAGAGGAATACTGACTAAATGATTATAAAATGGTCAAAACTCACTTATTAATTATTCCATCCAAAGAGGAATACTGACTAAATGATTATTAAATGGTCAAACTCACTTACTGATTATTCCATCCAAAGAGGAATACTGACTAAATGATTATTAAATGGTCAAACTCACTTATTGATTATTCCATCCAAAGAGGAATACTGACTAAATGATTATTAAATTGTCAAACTCACTTACTGATTATTCCATCCAAAGAGGAATACTGACTAAATGATTATTAAATGGTCAAACTCACTTACTGATTATTCCATCCAAAGAGGAATACTCACTAAATGATTATTAAATTGTCAAACTCACTTACTGATTATTACATCCAAAGAGGAATACTGACTAAATGATTATTAAATGGTCAAACTCACTGATTATTCCATCCAAAGAGGAGTACTCACTAAATGATTATTAAATTGTCAAACTCACTTACTGATTATTCCATCCAAAGAGGAATACTGACTAAATGATTATTAAATGGTCAAACTCACTTACTGATTATTCCATCCAAAGAGGAATACTCACTAAATGATTATTAAATTGTCAAACTCACTTACTGATTATTCCATCCAAAGAGGAACACGGACTAAATGATTATTAAATGGTCAAACTTACTAATTAATTATTCTATCCAGAGAGGAATACTGACTAAAACATTATTTAATGATCAATCCCTGTGAAGAAATACTCACTAAATGATTATTTAAATGTTACCATCTGAAGAAGTACTCACTAAATGATTATAGTAACATGAAATATGCCTGGCAATAAATTGTGCAATGTATTGTTTGTGTCCGCATTATTTACATTATTCAATTGTTACCATCTGAAGAAGTACTCACTAAATCATTACTTAATTGTTAAACTCACTTATTAATCAATCCATCTAAAGAAGAATATCTGTCAATTTTTGTTTCATCCAGCAGAAATTCCTGGAATCATAAAAAAAATCATTGAAGATTAACTTTCATCAACTGTAATTTAGAAACAGCAAAATTCCTATCAAAGGTTCTTATAAAAAAAACAAAACAAGAACAATACCAGAGCAGATGTTTGCTTGCTGGCCTGAAGATACTGGGTTCAAATCTGCATTGGGGCATTATTATAAATGGCTTGGTGTTGCGTGCAAATTATGCACTGAATTACACCAATACTAAATTATGCAAATACTATGTAAGACATTGTTGATGTTGTAAAGAAAATAAGCTCCACTGAGTATTTGCAAAAAAGCAGTCAAAGAAGCAGGATGTTTGTGTCAAAGTTCTGTGGATCCCAGAAAAAAAGATTGACTCTAGATGCTAAAATAGACATAATTTGTCATGTCTGTTGTATGAGGGAATTATTATTATAAAGTAAAAAGTATCAGCATTTCTGCTGGATTTATTGACGGTAACAGCATTTTTCTTGCATGTCCGCATTTCTGCTGGTTTTAAGACATTGCAGTATCATTATAATGTAACTGCTTTTTTTCTCGCAAATCAGCATTTCTAATGGACATAAGACGTAGAGTCGTAATAAAGTAATTGCATTTTTCTTGCATATCAGCATTTCTACTGGATACAAGACGTTGTAGAGTCGTAATTAAGTAATTGTATTTTTCTTGCAGGTCAGCATTTCTGCTGGATCTAAGACATAGAATTGTTATAGAGTTTTTCAAGGTCAAGACGATGATCCTATGGCTGAGGTTACATATGAAGCCAATCTTCTTAGAGAGCTGGCTTGTGAACAACAGGATTGATTCAGTTTATGTTGAATTTTGGGGAGTTCTCTTTTCACTTATCATGTTTGAATACCTCATCGGAATTGGATATACGAGAATACACTCAATTCTGCACATGGTCTTGTCAAGTTAAATAACATTATTATTTCTTCAAGTTGACTGTTAGTTATTGCCCAGTTGTTCCTAGTGGCATTTTGGGCATTTCGGATTGTTACCGCCGGACCATTTCTTTCAGTTCATGGCACAAAATCATACCTGTTGTAACCCTAAAATTTGTTTTTTAGATTTTTATAGCTCTGTTTCCATAAGGTGTTGACTCGGTATCCAAACTGATTGCCACACGCATCACTGAAGACTTGCCGCACGCATTATCATGGGAAGCAACACACTTCACTTGAGTTCCCAGGCTGACCATACCTAAATGGGTCCCAGGAAATGTTCTAAGCAGTAAAGGCAGCCAGTCTAACGTTGACCACATCATCGATCATGTGCCGACTGGTATGAAATATATGGGTCTAGCACGATATATCCAACACTGAAAGAGTTCTTTACTTACTTTTTCAGTAATAGAAACATTATAATAATAAATCAATGCATCCTTACAACTTACTAAAATGTATTTTATATACTAATATGCAACACAGTCTGAACATCAAAGAAAACTTACTCGTAAATGGAATGTTGTCTTGGAAATGGAAATAGTCTGTCATATCAAACACCACAGTGGACTGGAAAGGTTAGCAGTGGATGATACAGTTTCAGGTAAGAAGGGCAAGGGCAGACCAGAACAAAGACTGACACAGGACACAAGAAACACTTTAGGCAGAAAAATGCTTAAGGCAGGAGAGCTTGTGAGGGACCACATTTCTGTCAGGCTATCTGTCATGGGAGCCATATTGGGCAAAGAGACTGCAGCATGATGATGCTGGAAAAGCTGGGTATCCAGTCTCACAGTACAAGAGATCAGGAGTACATCAGCTATTTAAAACCAATGGCCTTCGCATCTATTTCTGGCCATAGCGGGAGAGTGAGCCGCATTTTATAAAGAAACACAATGTTCTCTTCACTTCACAAACTTTTAACCAAGGGTTGTCATTTTAGTTGTACGTTTGGCAAGCACTTTACTCATGTTCCTAATGAGTTTTGAAAAGCTTTTCACCCATGCATTTTGGGGTGGGCTGATGAGAGCCACAAGGACACTACACCTCTGGGGGCCGCCAACTCTGAGATCCCCTGACAGCTCTGTTAATGCTCTTTTGAGACATTATTCGTGAGGCTCCGTAAAACCAGAACAGTGCAAGACTGGTGCCCGAGTGACGTACAGAGTAACTCCTTATACACATCACACTGGACTTAACTTTACCCCATGCCTTTGACAAAAATCACCGTGCCACTACTGGCTTGTAAAGAAAGTTCAATGAATGATGGATTACCTCTTACAGGAAGAGTAAAAGTAGATGTTCATGAGGTGAAAGGTGACAATTCTATAAGCAAGAAAACACAAGGGTACCCACTGGATCTGTCAGTTCATAGCTCCTCCTGATCTCACTGCCTATCACATTTATAGCGATTATCCCCACCTGGAAGAAATTTCAGATTTCACATTTTAATTTGACTCACTAGGCTTACTGAATACCATTAAAACATATTTTAAAAACTCAAAACAAAAACAAGTCATGCACTTGAAACAGGGATAGCCGTTCTCAGTCTCATCACCAGTTGTTAAAGTGTGAACTTAATTTTTCACCAGTGAGGGAAGAGGGGAGAGGGATATCCATAGAGGAAAGGTTAAACTCTTTGCCTTGCATTGTAGAGGTCATAAGTTTAGATTCTTGTTTAAAGGTTATTTACTGCTCAGTATAAGAATATAACTCACTTATTTGCTTACCTTCATCCGCTTTCTTTTTCATCTTCTCCTTCTTTCTATTACCACACCTTTATATGCATCAAATGTAACAGATGTAACTCTAATGCTTTCTGTCACCGGACATTTTAATGAGATTTATGTTGCTCATATTGGTATTGTTGAAGGTTTCTACATACATTTGTTCTTCCTGTTTTCATTTGCTTCTACTGCATAGTTTTCCTACATAAGGCTCATTTATCCCATTTCAAACTGCTGACATTTCTATTAAACAAGCAACATATGGATATCTCAGAAAATGTTTGACTTTATATGCCTCAAGATATTTAAGATTTTTGAGTGTTTAACTGCAAGTATTAATCAATCGTTCAAATATTGATGTTTTCTGTTTAGAAAGTTTTTGAAGGATAGTTGCCATTCCATGATGTTTCCAAGATGTGCACTATGTAGATTTTCTTCTTCTTCTTAATGTCTACAGGCTGTAAACTCAGGTGGAAAGTTCTGGTTGTTTGTCCATTGCTAGAATGTTGTCCTCTTTCAGACACAGAGTTTTGCATGCACATCCGTATTACAGATCTGGATTATTTGCATGCAGACTGTTGGTTTCTCACCTCTCAGGCACTTTGACTTTGAAGGAAACACTCCTAATTATTTATCTCCTATCACATACTTGTTAGGTGGGTAGGGGGTCTTTTGCCCCTCCCCCTAAAAATAGGGTTCTGGAGCCCACACACAGATGTGTAGTTTTTGTTCAAGAAGCTCTAATCTGAAATAAATCTTTTTCTACAGTACAAACAGATCAAAGAGGAATCACTGAGGCCCCACAAGAGAATGATTAAAAACTTAAACTCTTTGAGTCCCCAGGAGGTTTAGCATCAGAGGCCCAAGGGGTAATCAAGAGAGACGTAAAATCGGTGCTTCTTGCATTCAGTGGGCTTCTAGGTAAGAACCTATGAACGTTTAAAGAATTCCTTGGGACTCAAAGAATTAAATATATTTATTAACACTCACAGATGTAGAGGAACGAAGTAAGAGATAGAAGGACATATAAAACAACATAACATTTTTTTTTTTAAATTTATACACATGTAGTTACCATTCTGAGATTTGAACATGTCGCCTCTAAATCACAATGGACCTGGATAATGATTAAACCAATTTGAAGGGTAAGCACCCTGACATCTATGAGTACCAGTACCTATATTTAAGTTAGCTAAGCCAGTCTGGAGTACACTTGCTCATGTAGCAAAGTGTCATTATAATTTGGAAATAACTATTTGAATTCTGCCAAGTTAACTATAGCTTTCAAATGTTATGTTGTCTCTACTTCTTTCTTCTACATGAAGGAGCACCAATCAAGGCCTGTAAATGTGTTTATTATGCAGTACAAAATGTATGTTACATGTAAACTTAACATAGAGAATTAACTCCACACATTCCTTCAACCACTCAACTGACCTGGTTGTACATGTTATGTTTGTTGACATGGTTTTTGTGAATATTCAACTTCAGGAAATTGCCGACTGCATCTACATGAACAGACTTGAGTTCTCGGGCCTTAAAGCCTGTCTTCTCATTGTCTGACAAGGATACATACCTGAAATATTTGCAAAGTTAGCGACCGTACTGGATTCCATCATCATGTAAAAGGCTACTTATAAGAAGTCTCTAACACTGAGTATTATTCATGGTAACATAGCCAGAAAAATGAAAAAAAAAACCTTGTCTTTCCCATCAAGTCTGTAAGGCTCTTTGATGTGTGCACAGTTTTCATGTGGTTTACGTAATCAATCATGCAATATCATTTGGGTCTTTTACTTCCTATCACCATAACCTTCTTTAATGGTGAACTAGGTAATCTATAAATTAAAAATCTTAACTTTATAGAGGAACAGTCATCTATCCACCCATACAGAACCACAGAGTAAAAGTAAAGGACCCTTTTCCGTTCCCTAAGGCATATTGGACATATAGGGCTAGTCCTATATTTTATAGACCTATTGGCACTTGATGGGTGAACCTCAAGGTACTACAAGGTGTAGCCACAGAGGTCCCCCCGCCTCCCAAAAAAAAAGGAAAGAAACTTTTTATGAGGTAGAAAAGTGTATCTGTAATTGTTTCCTGTTAGATTAGTAATTGAAATGTGGCTCTTTAAAACACTGCCTAGTTAAACCTTCATAAAGCAGTCCCAAGGAAGAATTGAAAAAACATCTAATCAACATGTCAATCTCTCTGAACTCTCTTGGTCTGGCATAATTAATAGCTCCATACAAGCCATCACAGTTTCTCAGCACTGATCAGTTCATTCAATATGGGCAAGACATCATTAAATATGTTCCATTTCATAACTCTGACAGTTGGACAGTAGGCTAACAACCCCATCTCACATATTGTGGTCTAGAATATGTGGCCGAAAACCTCATATCTCTACAGCAAAATCAGCAATGGGTTGACCTTTACTGCCCTTGAGTTTCCTGCTCCTGCTAGTCCAGCACCTGCTATGGACTGTTTTTTATTTCTTTAAAAATCAAAATCAACCAAAATTCATGCATGAAATTATATACCATTCATGTCATTAGTCTAAATGTTAACTAATATCTTCTCTCTTGTAGGTATATCATGTCAAGACAACATTCTTCTTCATTACACATTATCTTCAAATACACACTAAAAGAGAAATCTGCACATGAATACCGAACGACAATCTTTACCCTAGCCTTGCATATCTGACATTTTCCAGAGTTAATGCTGTTCCATCAGGTACATCCCCAACAAAGAACTCGATTTTTGTTGCTAAAAAACAAACAAAATCACATCACATATTTGCAAAGAGAAAATATACATACACTTTACATAGAAAATACAAATACTTTCTTGTCAATATAAATCACAAAGGAGTTTCTTACAAGAGTTTCCTGCAGTTAAAAGGTGGGTAAGGAAAACCTGTGTCTCCACTGTGCCTTTTTTCTCAACAACTGTGACCCCAAAAAAGAGACGGTTTCTTTTGGGTACGAAATGAGGTACAGCCGTCTCCACTGTGCTTTTTTCTCAACGACTGTGACCCAAAAAAACAGAGGGTTTCTCTTGGGTATGAACTAATGTTCAGCCCTTATAACCGCAAATGGGGGACAAAGAGGAAGATGGAAGCAAGAGTGTTTTCCCTGATATAGCAAACTGGCAGCAATGGTGATGATGGAGGCTAAGAGGCATGAGGGAGATAAACTAGCTCATTCATGGGGAAGCTTTATCAGGTGGAACACCAACAAGGCATGGAGTATGGGATCATCCCCTTCCTGAGGGTAGGACAGCTCTTCAGTAGGTACACCTATCAGTGCATTTAGGAGATAAGTGTCATAACTGATGAACTCATGCTTCAAATTTAGCAAACAGAATATGAACAGAAGAATAGCATTCTTTTTCTTCCCTTTAAAAAAATATTTTATTAAGCATTTACCAGCCATAAACTTGTGGAAAAGTTTTGGTTGTTCGTCCACTTATGGACTTTGGTCTGGTTCCAAAACTTAAATGTTGTGTGCACGTTCATTTTAGAGATCTGCATTATGTGTATGCAGATTGTTGGTTTCTCATTTTTCAGATATTCTCCAGTTTGAAGAAAACATCCCGAATTAGTCCCCTTGAAAGACATGTTTATTAGAGGACAGTGAGTCTTCTCCACCCGCCCCCTCTCTTTTCTCAATAAGGACACAGAACCCACATGGGTGGGTAGGTGCTTTGCTGGAAAAAAATCATCAAGGTAAACCAGCATCTCCGAAGGGGGAGCTTTAGGTCTTTATTGTGACGTGGTTATCTGCGCCTATAAAATGACTTAACACTGCACATCACCAAGAGCCCTGAAAAGGACTCCTGCAGTGTTGATGCGATCAAAGGAGTTTAAAAAAAACTTTGCTGTGTATCCTGCATTTTTTTAACGTAGAGTAGTTTGCCACTGCTTTCTGGACGGTAGGCTTCTTGATGCCACCGTTGAAAAAAGCAAGGCGCAAGGTCGACAGCTGGGATCGGCATTACAAAATGTGTTCGCAACTTTAAAGACTCAGATAAAAGTCATGAACTGGGAAGGCCATCCCTACAATGTGTCTGTAAGATTTCAGCAAAGGTAAAGGAGCTGAAACATCCTTGAAAGGGGACCTCTTCTGATGACTGGAAGACTCTTGCTATAGTCATGTCTCTGTGGAGTTTATCATGTTTGCAAAAGTACCTCATTTCCCCAAGTATAAGATGATCCCATTTATAAAAGAGAAAACCGAAAATGACTTAAAATATATTGGGAGTTATGGAGATTACAATTGAAGTTACCTTTTTCTAAAAACCGAACAGACCAGACGCGAAAGAAAACACAAGCTCAACTTACAGATAAGATGCTGATGGGATAAGATCTGGATTTTCCTCAACCTTGACCTTTCTTCCAACTGAAGGACTATGTCTTGTGGATACAAACAAAACCTGAAGCAATAAAACACCAAGACAATATATTAGTTGTAACTGTTTGGATTTAAGCAAAATATTAATAGGAGGCATTCTTATCAGCTGTCTCCCCCGTGTGGGTTCCGGGGCCCCATTGTGGGGAAAACAAGAATAGACCCACTGCCTCCCCAAAAGCATGTCGTAAGAGTCGACTAATTGGGGAGCTTCCTTTGAAGTCGGAGTGCATCTGCCGGAGAGGCAAGGAACCAACAGTCTGTATTCAAGAGAATGAGATCTGTAAAACTGATGCACACGCAACACTCAGGTTCTGGAGCAGGACTGCAGTTCAGTAGTGGACGAGCAACCAGAACCTTCCGCCAGAGTTTACAGCTGGTGAACGAAAAGAAGAAAGAAGATCAGCTGTCTGTACTAGTGGCTGGGCACTTATGGTTTATAACCATGTGCAATGATGCTGGTTCACATCTCTTGACTTTACCTTTACCTTACTGTAACAATTTTTTCAATACAGGACTTACAGCATTTAATTCTACTCATCTGTTCTGTATGAGATCTGCAGGCGTTAGATGCCTGCTGCCAGTCAGAAAGTTTTGGGTTCGAAATACCATCTAGACAGATGTTTATAATTCATCCAGGGCTCTAAGGTCAACCTAGCCTAAAATAAGTACCAGGGGAATCTTGTGAGATGTAAATGCGGACAGTATGAATTTGATGTCATCGTTTGGGTGGTGATTTGCCTACAAAAATATGGGCCCAAACTAGAGCTGTACCAGATAATTGCTTTGTATTCGCTTTCCGGGCCGAATAGTGGACCTAAAACCCATTCGGTATTCGGATAAATACTTGCAGTCGGGCCGAATACGAATAGTGGTTAACTTACAGCCATTTCTGCACACACTGCGATGGACTGAAATAACTCTCTCATTAACACAATAGTTGCTGTTGCCTAAGTCTGTCGTAGCAGGGGAATCTGCGACCCGGTTGCGTGGTACAGCAGCTGGCAAGGTCTTTGCCTGCTGACTTGACCAAGGCATTACAGCAAATGTTCTCAAACTGGTTGCATATGCCAGGAGTGCCGCGGTGAAAATCAAGAAAAGTTGGCTATAAATTGTGACATTTTTCAAGAAGGCATGAAGATACTTAAAAGTTCAAATTTAAAATGTCTTTCTTCAGAACTGTCGAAAAGAGTTTTTTTCCCTTGTTTTACACTCAAAGCATATCATACTGCATACAATGCCAACCGCAGCGTGCAACAAATTTTCTTTGTATTTATCTCGAGGTGCAACAGATAAGTAAGGTGGTGAGTACATTTTGGCTGAAATTTTAAAGTGAAAAATGTGGACTGTACAACTGTAACTGTTAGCCTCATCAAGTAAGCACTTATATTTATTTAAAGGCTTTGTGTTATTTTTTTTTTTGTGTGTGTGTGTGTGTGTGTGTGTGTGCGTGCGTGTGTGTGTCTGTGTGAGAGAGAAAGAGAGAGACAATGAGAGATCATGCATTTTTTCGTTCTTTCGGGGTGACTTTGCCCAAATCAAATTTGAAGATATTGCTAACGAGTATATGAAGGTGCATTTAAATTACATCAAACGAATGGCCGAGCGAACTATGATTTTAAAAGAGGCGGTAGCCCGAAGACAACTAATCACAGACATCAAAAGGAGACAGCCATCATTTTTTGGACATGTTATGAGAAGAGGGAAAATGGAACATGTGGTGACCACTGGAAAGATCTGTGGGAGGAGGGATAGAGAAGACAACCAGAGAAGATTCTTGAAGTCTTGTTGCATGGCAAGGACATGTGTCAGCAGACGAACTAATACATGCTGCCGGAAATTGCAGATCGTAGCGAGACATAATCGCTCACGCCGGTCGGCAAAGCACCTGATGATGATGATACACTGTTCATATTCGGGTCGGATAGTTGGTCCCACTATTCGTATTCGGCCGAAAAGTGAAAATCACTATTCAGTACAGTCCTAGTCCTAACACCATATGCTCAATGTGCTATTGGCATATAAGGGATCCTTTGCTCTTTGTTTTCTACTTTATGTTCTGAACATTAACACAGAATGAGAATGCATGTCACATACATATTGCTAAACACAAACAATTCCTGATTTAGTTAAGGAAGGCCGCAGCTATCCACCAATGGCATCTATTATTGTGGAAACACAGGCAATTACATTTCAATGGTAATGTCCACAGAGGAGCAGCAGCAAGTGGTTAACAGTACTGGGCACTCATATGGGAAACCAAGGTGTGATTCTTGGTAAGGTATATAGATGATTGCAACAGCAAGTGGTTAACAGAATTGGGCACTCACATAGGAAACCAAGGTGTGATTCTTGGTAAGGTATATAGATGACTGCAACAGAAAGTGGTTAACAGAATTGGGCACTCACATAGGAAACCAAGGTGTGATTCTTGGTAAGATATATAGATGACTGCAACAGCAAGTGGTTAACAGAATTGGGCACTCACATAGGAAACCAAGGTGTGAGTCTTGGTAAGGTATATAGATGACTGCAACAGAAAGTGGTTAACAGAATTGGGCACTCACATAGGAAACCAAGGTGTGATTCTTGGTAAGGTATATAGATGACTGCAACAGCAAGTGGTTAACAGAATTGGGCACTCACATAGAAAACCAAGGTGTGATTCTTGGTAAAGTAAATAGATGACTGCAACAGCAAGTGGTTAACAGTACTGGGCACTCACATAGGAAACCAAGGTGTGATTCTTGGTAAGGTATATAGATGACTGCAACAGCAAGTGGTTAACAGTACTGGGCACTCACATAGGAAACCAAGGTGTGATTCTTGGTAAAGTATATAGATGACTGCAACAGCAAGTGGTTAACAGTACTGGGCACTCACATAGAAAACCAAGATGTGATTCTTGGTAAAGTATATAGATGACTGCAACAGCAAGTGGTTAACAGTACTGGGCACTCACATAGAAAACCAAGATGTGATTCTTGGTAAAGTATATAGATGACTGCAACAGCAAGTGGTTAACAGTACTGGGCACTCACATAGGAAACCAAGATGTGATTCTTGGTAAAGTATATAGATGACTGCAACAGCAAGTGGTTAACAGTACTGGGCACTCACATAGGAAACCAAGATGTGATTCTTGGTAAGGTATATAGATGACTGCAACAGCAAGTGGTTAACAGTACTGGGCACTCACATAGGAAACCAAGGTGTGATTCTTGGTAAGGTATATAGAGGACTGCAACAGCAAGTAGCATTAAATCCTCTGGCTCATGACCTCACCCCCCAGCCCCATGTCCTACACTGCCCTAAAAATAGTAAATACGGGCAGAAAAGACAGTTAATGTCTATGTATTTTTAAAATAATTTAGCTTACACTATCCATTTGCTTTATTTTGCTTATTTCTATAGCATGCACCTATTAGGAAAAATGATCTAAGTCAAACTGCTGTGCAGACATGCCAGGTAAAAACCTGTGCAGTTTGACAGTTGTGTTTTCTCTGTTCAAAAATATGTCTTACCGTGCAGACTGCCATCCTTTTGTCAAAGGACTGTGATAGTTGAGTTCACTAGCCCTGTAAACATCATCTTGACCAGAAGCATGAATGACTTTGAAATGCAGCTTCTGTGGCATTGCCTACGCTTCAGAGATAGGGACAGAATCAAGGGAAATAAAAAAGTGAATGTACGTTACAAATCTCATAGAATAGTCAGCATTAATATGAATTATCTTCTTTGTAATGTTACGCCATTATTGCGATAGAATAATCAGCACTATTGTGAATTATCTTCTTTGTGGGAATACAGGCAGTTACATTTCAATTATTAGTAAACTCCACATGCTGAAGATATCTACCTGTTTTTATTTAATCAATGAACTTTATTGGTAATTTAGCTAAAAATTATTAACTTTATTGGTAATTTATTTAAGTATGTTTTAAAAGATTTTTCAACTTTAAATAGTGATTTACCAAGGTAAATCATAGCAATTTAAGATTATCAGCATACCAACACCAAAAAAAGCAATAAATCATACACTTTAGCTAGATTAAAATTATTAAGTAGCATTTGGTAATGTCCTATTCCAGTTAAGAATATCTCTGCTAAAAGGTCTTTGATTTTGGAATATTATTTTAGGAAAATTCAGAAAAAAACATTCAGTTTAAAAAAAATCAAAACAACAACAACAAATAAAATAAAAAAAATTAAATTGATCTGCTGTATAAGAGATATTTTTTGATGCTCTGAATTCATTGAGAATAGTATATGACACCTCAAGCATTTCCTGGGACTTTATGAGGTAATGTAACTAAGTACACTGAGTGTGTCATTTGTTTATGACAATTTTACTAATAACACAGTTCTATGTTTTAGCAGTTAATTAGTTAGTTAGTTGAGTTATCATCATTGCACTCCGGGCATGTCCATAGGTGCTCAGATCCTCTCCTCATTATAAGCCCCAGCATCCAGTAGCTAATAGTACCAGTCCTATGTTGATTAACAATTACTCTAATGTGCCTGATGTGGGTCTCGTTTCTTGCTTTGAGGATCTTAACGCCCAAGTCTGCCATTCCCGTGCGGGAGACCAGGGTTCAAATCCCCATTACAGCATTTTTTTTTTACCTAGGGGCAAAATAAAATCCTCACCTGCACTGTCTTGGCGACAGCACTAGCCATGTGGCCCTAAGTACTAAATAAAAAAAAATTTTAAAAATTTTAAAAAAGTAGTTACGCGGGTAAACCAGTTGATAATTAAATCTGACCATTTCACATACTTATGATTTCATTTCAAACTTTCCGATTGCATGGTAACGCTGAATTTTCATAGATTTCCATTTATTTTTATACTGATTTAATTATTTCATCTGACACTTCGTTGAAATTAGGCTGTGTTGTTTACCATAGCGTTCATTTTGTAATTATGGTGTATTTCCTGTTTTCATTGCTTTTCACATGGTTTTTTTCTCCCAACTACTTCGATGATGAAAAGAGTAGTCAGTGAATTATAAAGACCAATTATATATTGTATTTTCTAAAGTCAGCAAACCAGACTAGCTCTATATCTGTACCGACAATGACTGCGACATTAACTATATTAGACACGTATGAATTCTATTGTCTTTCTTTTCCAAAAATCTTTGATGAGGGATAAAGTAGTAGGTAGATTTATTTGTGGTGGGTGGGGGTAAATCGAAGACTATCTCTATATCTGCGCAGACAATGAATGCAACAGTAACCATATTAGGCAAGTGCGATTTCTATTTTCTTTTTTTTCCATTTAGCCAAACTATGCCACAGCAACGCGTGGCCGGGTACAGCTAGTACATGATAAAAATGGTTGCACATCAACAGAAACCAAAGACATATTAGAAAGATGGAAAGATTACTGTAGAGAATTGTATGAGGATGTGACAAGCAATTAAAAATAACTTATGAAAGTTATGAAAAAGAACCAGAGCCTTTACTGGATGAGGTACGATCAACAATATACAACCTAAAGAAAGTAAAGTCACCTGGTTGCGACAAAATACCAGCAGAACTAATTCAAGCAGGATGAGAGACCAATGTCTGAATTTCATGCACTGTGCATGAAGATCTGGAACAGTTGCATTTGGCCTAAAGTGTGGAAAAGAACAATCTAAATCCCTCTCCCAAAGAAAAGAAATCTGAAACTATGCTCCAAATACCGTACCATTGCAATAATAAGTCATGCTGGCAAAATCCTCTTAGGAATTATCATGAAGAGGATTGAAAGGAAATTACAATAAGAGCTACATGAAGTACAAGCGGGTTTGAGACAGGGTAGAGGAACTAGGGATCACATCTTTAATATAGGAATAATTTGTGAAAAATGCAGAGAATACAACGCAGATCTTATGCTTGTTTCATTCATTATAGCAACGCATTTGATCATGTCCAACATCAGACACTGTGGACTATTATAAGAAGTATGGAGTTTTCATGGCATTTAGTGCATTTAATTGAAAACCTTTATCAGGAACAATTGGCAGCCATCAGAGCAGCTGGTGAAACATTGGATTGGTTGGAGGTGCAAAAGGGGGTGAGGCAGGGGTGCATTCTCTCACCATACCTATTCAATATTTACACAGAAAAAATAATGAGAAATCTAAAAAATGACCAGACTTGTGACAGTTATGATCTGCTCAAAACTGGTGGCAACCCTATTTTGGAACTTCGCTATGCAGATGACACAGTCCTCCTTTCGAACAGCGTAAAGGAAATATAAAATTTAATTGTGTCCGTCCAAAAGTAGGGACTACAGTTTCGACAATTTGCGGTCTTTTCGGCAATTTCCGTTACCCGGAAACCGTTCAGAACTTGTTCGGGAAATCTCGGCTGGTTTCCGTATGGGTCCAAATCTCTCATGAAAATTTTGCCATTGGTGGGGAATTTGACCAGCTATAAATAGCTGAAAAAAACAGCGTGGGGGAACCCGATTAACAGCGCATGTCTACGACAGCCGGACGTCCTCTGTTTTTCTGTTAGTCATCAGTTTGATTGAAAATAGCGGTAAATTCGAGGTTGGCTTTAGGGCTTTAAACTGTTACTCGTCCTGGTATTGCTAGGTATATTTGAATTCTCCGTCCAATTTTACATTTTGTGTATAAAAATTTCTTTCTGGAACGGTGGCAAGGTAGATGTACAGTGACATTTTTCAGGCAATCGCTGGCTCAGCCAGTGGCTGTGTCTCATTTTGCCTGCCATCTTGTCCAATGACAGTCCAATGTAAACAAAGCCGATACAGAACTGCGCAGTAGGTTGCGCAGACTGCGCAGTAAAAAACTTCTTGTTTCTGGGTCACAAGTTTTAGCGGCTGTTTCTTTCATCTCATCCCACAAAAACCTACATATCTCAGCTCAGAAATGACATACAAGCCTAAATGAGGTACCATTGGAAATAAATTGTTTACAGCTATCTAACTGTGCTGGTTTTATTGGTGTAGAGGGCATTTTAAAAATTTTACTGAAGTAGCTACCAAAAGCCCAGTAAAGATCAAAATCTGTTCTTGAATTTGAAGGGAAAAAAAAACTCTGTCCACAGATAAAACTAGCTGTCACCAAAAAAAAAAAAAATGAAGAAATTGAAAATGTCACAAACTTTGAATATCCAGGCTCTATAATAAATAGCAATGGAGACTATTTGACCGAAATTAAAGGGAGGATGGCTATAGCAAAGCATAGATTAAACAGCTTTAAAAGTCTATGGTTAAGCAAAAGCAAAGAGAATCAAAATAAATTAGTATTTTGAGAGCATGCATCTTTCCTATAGCACCATGGGGATGGAGCCGACCGACACGAAGATGGACACAGAATATAAGTGACTCCCTGAGTATAAAAGCACATAAGGCGGGAGAGCTGGCGAGAGACCGAGTTTCCTTGATGAGAGCGACGTGTTCTGCAAAGGACCTGCTACATGGTGATTAAATTATATATTATAATAAAGTTATTCACATATGTTTAATTATTATTATTACTATATTATTTATGTTTATAATTAAAAGCCTTTTTCTTATCATATGACCTTCCCGAGAATGTTGACAAATAATAAATGATATAATATTCACGTTAGTCCTCCCATCAACAACAAACAAGTAAGTAAATAAAGTTTCCGCGTTTTTGTGTGCAAGCCAGAGACCGCTTGACAACCAGGACTCCAAACATTTGTGTACATTGGAGAAAATGGCGACCAGCAGTCTCGCACCTACAGACATTCGATAGTTACTTCATACAGTTAGTGACAATCATTTGGGAATCCAGTTTTGTATGTTTGTAATGTGGAATTGTTGTTGTTGTTGAAGTGACTGTCACACAACCTACACATAAATGATAATTACTAATGCTACTGCTTCAGGAAGTCGTTTTGACTACCTAATTTCTGCGAGACTAACCGCGGGCGATTGAAAGTTACACTGGGAGAGAGAGTGGGTGCGTATGAGTGCGTGGATTGTGTGTGTGAGAGTGTGTGAGTGAGTGTGTCCGAGTGCGCCCGCGCGTGTGTGTATATATAAATATATATATATATATATATATTGAGTACCTTATAGTAAGAAGATGTCAAGGAAATGGTTGTCATTTTCTTTCCAATTTTTAATTTTAATAAATTCGGTTCTTAATTTATAACGTACCCCAAACAGGAAATCCCCGTTGGAAATCCACAGCTGACCTGACAGTCCATTATTTCAAGGGGTGCAAGTGTGCTGTTGTGTGGTGTTTTGTTTGAGTGTTCATCTAGTGTCTTCTAATCCTAACCCTAACCCTAAACTTTACTGTAGAGAAATCGCGAGAAACTACAACCTGAACACCCTAGAATTTATTTATTGGGAATGTCTCCCGTGACGTTGTCGTGACGTCAGGGGTAATTTATAAATTAAGTACCAAAAATTCTGTAGTAAATTCTAAAATTGAATGATATAGTGAAAAACATGTCAATTTTCGGCTCTCCTCCGAGCTTCTACCCCCGCGGTAATCCGGCCTGAACTATCCGTTCGGTGCGTAGTCAGATTAATAATACGCCGGCTCCGTATAACGAAACAATTGCTCTAACAGGGTCTCAGCGATATGTTACTTGCGGACCTGTTTCTTATTGTTTCTGATTACCTGATAATTTCTAAGAGAC